CCAGGACCTGGCCCCACTGACCGCAATGGAGCGGTGCTGATTTACACCAGCCCAGGACCTGGCCCCACTGACCGCAATGGGAAGCTGACGTTGGCTTCTAGGTCGCTTGGCTTTTAAACGGTGAACTCCAGCACTTTTCTTTTTTCCTTTTGGTAGTAGCTCAAGTATGTTCCTCCCCTCGGGGATCTGCACAAGAATGTGGCTGAGCTGTTCTCCTCCCCCCCCCTCCCCCGCCGTTCCCTCCCCCCCCTCCCCGCCTCCTGCAATAGGTGAAGCCGAACTGAAGGATGGTTAGATTCTCCCTCGAGGAACAACATTCTTCAGTTATGAAATCGTCCCAGCCTCTTTTTCCTAGCCGAGCCTGGCTACTGCTCGACGGCAGGGTCCAGGCCCTATCCCGGCACACACACGCCCCATGACTGCAGTGGGCTCTGCAGGGGCAGGGCATGGGCTTCCTTCACGCCAGCATATAACCACAGGCTTCTCAGAAGGCAGTGTGGAGAGGCAGAGCATCTATTCTGCCCTGTGTCTGAGGTATGTCTACACTGCAGTCAGAGATGGGACTGGATCTAGCTTGGCTCTAGCTAGCTCCAATAACAATGGCAGCACAGGCCCACCTGCGACCCTGGGTATGTACTCAGGGGGCTAGCCTAGGCTGCCATGCAGGCCCATTGAGAAGAAGTTTGGGGCCCTGGTATATCGTGTTTCCTGGGGCCCCTCCCATTTCATCCCCATTTCATGCCTTGTTATTGATGTTTTGAGGGGCCGCCCTGAGCTTGGGCCCTGGTACAATTGCCCCCCCCCCTTTGACTCTTCTCATCAGCCCTGCTGGCGTGGCGCCGCTGGTATTGTTATTGGAGCTCGCTAGCTGAAAGCTAGCTTGGGTATGTCTACACAGGCTGCAAACACACATCTGACTGCAGTGTAGACGTACCCTGAGAGCCGGAGGCATTCCACGTGCCTTTACGAAAGTATCAGGGATTAGGGAAGTCTGGTGTGATGAAGGTACTAGACTAGGATTTAGTAAACCTGAGTTCAGTTCCCAGACTCCTTGAGGGACCTTGGGCAAGTCACTTAGGTCTTGTCCACACCAGAAAGTTCAACCCCACCTCGCGTGACTGAAATTAGATCAGTATAAAGGTGCTCTCTACCAGCAAAGCTATTCCCCTAGAGGAAGGGGCATTACTATTCTGAGATGAGTCACCTTTATAAGTTCATCCACTCTAGGGATTTTGCCAGTATAACTAGTTTGATAAAAATCATTCCTCCAACCAACATAACTTTACTTGTAAAAAACATATAGACTAGACCTTAATACATATGTGCCCCAGTTTTCCAGCTGTACCTGGGGATAAAAGCACTTCCTTTGGCTTTCTTTTCCATGCGAAGAAGTGGGCAGTAGCCCACGAAAGCTTATACTCTAATAAATTTGTTAGTCTCTAAGGTGCCACAAGTACTCCTGTTCTTTTTCCATGTGTGTGTACAATGCCCACCACAAGAGAGCCCTGATTTTGGTTGGCGTCTCTAGATACGAATATATGAATTGTAATGTGAGAAGAGCTCTGTGTAAGCTCGAAATCTTGTCTCTTTCACCAATGGAAGCTTGCTCAGTCTAAGATATTACTTTGTCTCTTTCCGATCAATAATGATCCCGACATTACTTTCAGTATACTGCTGTGATGCACTCCGGGAATTTTATAAAGTTCACCACGACAGGATCCCAAACTCTTCTGAATTACACAGTAGGATAAAAACAATATCCCGCCCCGACACCTTCTGATCGCAAGTGACAGTGGATCTTGGCCTGAGGTGAACTTATGAGCTCAACCATATAAACAGACTTTAGAATGGTCTCCCTGAAATGTATCCTAGAGGCTGCCTTGCACTGCTGACATGAGGTCAACTGGCGCTGCTCTGGCTTTCGAACAAGCTAATTTCAGTGGGAGGAGTGTCGGTCCTTTTGGGAACCTGTAACAGTGTCTTTAATTGCACACTGAAAGGATTACTTCCAGGTCTGTACTGCTGCTATCCTGAAGGCGCAGCAGACTTTGTCAGATATTCCTATACAGCGGTGAGGGGCAGGGAGTCCAGCTTCATTATCTCCGGGGAGGTCAAATGCAAAGCAGGTTTGCCTTTCAGCTGAACTTATTCATGGTAATCTAAAACGAAGGGCCTGATCCTGTTCCCACTGAAATCAGTGGGAGCCAGACTGGGCCCTAAAATCCAGGATGCAAAGCAGAATAAAACAGTTGCTTTTGCTCCAAAAGAGGCATCTAACATATGGGACAAGGCCCTGATCCAGCTCCCATTCAAGTCAACGGAAAGACTTCCAATGGGAGTTGGATCTGAATTTATTTAGCCAGGCAAGCCCCCAATATCTATCTATCTATCTATCTATCTATCTATCTATCTATCTATCTATCTATCTATCCCCATACACCGTATCTATCTATGAAACTATCTAGTGCCCAACACCAAAATCTAGAAACTAAAAGCACAATCAGTTCTGAAAGGGGAGCCCATTAATCCTGGGCTGTTAGCTGACTCCCACTTTAATATCATTGATGATGGTGTTAAATAAGATCAGCCCTAACAATCATTGCCGCAAGGCTCAGTCAGATGCCACCCAACTGCTCATTATCAATGCCGTGTATCATTTCCCCTTTGCGCACAGCCCTTCGGTGGGGTTTCAGCCTCCTGACAGCATGCCAGGCCGAGCCAGTCTGCAATCACTGACAGACCAGATGCGGCGTGAAATGACGTTTGGTTGGAATGGAATCCAGCTCTACCAATGGAAACAGCTGCTGCATTAACAATCCAAGCCTATGGGAGGAGACTAGATGATTCAGGGCCTCTGGCAATGCCAGCTCTCTAGGTCACCAGTTCAACTCCAGCCCCGGGTGGGCAGTAAGTGAAAATTGTTATCACTTGAGGAGTGTTTGGTAGCCTGTATGAAGGAGTTGGGAGGTCTCAGTCCTCTTCCCAGTGGGCCCACTGCTGTTGGCCATCTCATCGGAGAGGCCCAGGGCTGAATGGGTGTTGGGACTGAACTGGCCTCTCTGCTCTAATGACGGCCTCTCTGCATCAGGCCGGAAGTGCGTAGGTGGGGTGCTAGGTGGCGGAAGCCTGTGTGGTACTTTATACCAGCCCAAAAGAAAAAGTCACAACAAATGATACGAACTACAAGATGGGTTTCAATGTCTGTTTGCTGCTAATAGTCCACATGCATCACCATTGCTTGCCTTATAGCCCAGCACTCACCTTTATCTAGCACGGGCCCAAATATGGCCAGGCTGTCATTGACGGTGGTGCAATTCCACCTCCTCCCACGGAACTGGTGCTGGCACTCCTGGATCCCGATCTTGACCCCTTCCGCCACGCTGGGCATGATCTCCACATAGTTCCGACAGAAGCGCAGCTGCTTCGGGACCAGCCCTGGGATGCTGCCGCAGAGGATGGGCTGAGTCCCCAGGGAGGAATACTGGTGACCGATGGCCAAGGACCTAGAAGAGAAAACATGGTAGTTTTCAGGCTGATTCCGCTCCTTGCACTGCTTGTTACCAGTCACAGCTACGGGGACAGAAACACTTTCAGTTCCTCGGCCCTCTCTGCCCACCAATCCCTGATCCCTCCTGACAGAGAATGGAGTCATCTACCTCTTTAAGCCTTCCACAATCCCCAACAAAGAGCCCCATCACACCTCCTTCCCTGAACTAGGTTTTGTCTGTATGGGAATACTCAGGAAAACTAATCTGAATTAGCCTTTAAAGTGGATTAGTAAAACTGCATTAAAGCCCTATGTGGACACACTTATTCAGAATTAAAGTGACCCAAATTAAGGCCTGGTCTACACTAGAAAACAAGGGATGGTTTGCAGAATATCCAGACATCATAATGACAGGTGCATTCAAAATAGATGGTAGATAGAGAGATGGGTAGACATACAGCTAGTTAAATAGATTTAAATATGCTCTTACAAGTGCTCCTAACAACCACCTAGATCAGGGGTTCTCAAACTGGGGGGTCGGGACCCCTCGGGGGGTCACGAGATTATTACACGGGGGGTCACGAGA